ACCAACTAAGCTAACTAGCCAACCCAATAACTCTTTTAATTTTGTTTTCTCAAGATCAGACCCTAAATTGAGAAAAATAAAAATCTGAAAATGCCTGTTACCCTAACCTATCTTTGGGGTTTCCCAGAAGGCCACTGGACAACCACAAAGACTTTTACTTTAGAGAAAGAGAGATGCTACCATTTAAAAGAAGAGGCTTTGGTGTGCTCCATATTCTTAATGATCTCAACACTATTTTAAGAACTGCATGGGAAGAGCTGTCCAATGAAAAAAGGAATTCAACCATCCCTAGGTTAATTATATATTGGCAAAATGTTAATAATATAAACATATTTTGGAGATTGTACACTCCACAATAGACTGAAAAGTGCTGGAAATTTGTCAATGCCTTCACTGTCCATAAAATGTTCTTACTCTTTAGGAAACGTCGATCAAATCCTCACAAAATAGTTCAGTATTACATTTCAATAGGTAGCATTAGTCTACTCCAATAACTGTAGCTATTCAGCCTTATCAACATGTGGTTTCTGTTTCCCTCTGATGCTTGCCAGAAGACCCCGCTATAAGCTACATGGTTTTTTAAAAAGTGTGTCTTCAACAAAGAAGAACAGTCTCAAAGCCTCATGGAAGGCATTGTACCAAGTATTTTTAAATACTATCATTTCAAGGAACAGACTCATGAATATGGACTTTTTTTTTTTTTTTTTGTCTTTTGTCTTTTTCCGTGTCTGGCAATGGATCACAACCCTCAGTGTTGCCCCCGTACCGGACCGGGGACCGGCAATGGGATCGCAACCCTCGGGGTCGCTCCCGCACCTCGCTCAGCCAGTGAGTGGGAACCGGTCCGTATGTGGGATCCGAACCCTCGGGCGGGAGCGCTGCCGCGCTTCCCAAGTGGCGCACTTATCCAGTGCGCCACCGGGCCGGCCCATGAATATGGACTTCTAAGTAGACATCACTTAGACAACTGTCATTTCTACCATCAGACTGAGTCAGGATTTCCAGGACTATTCTAGTCCAGATGCACAGGACTTCATGAAACTTGAATGCTGACCCGCCACCAAGCAGAAAGAGAACTAATTAAGTAGGATTGCATAAGCTGATGAGGGGAAATAAACTTGAGGTTTGGGGTTCAGAATATTATTGGTATTATTTTGATGTTCTATTTTTGGAAGTTTTATAATAAAGTCCTTCCTCTTTCCTCTTGAACTATCTGCAGTATTTTTTTTTTTTCGTTAAATTTTTATTTTGTCAATATACACTGTATACGATTATTATGGCCCATCACCGACACCTCCTATCTGCAGTATTTAATTTAGTAAAATAGTCTTTGACCATTTATGTTCTCACTAATCCCTCAGGATTCAGGAAAAAATACTCTTTCTAAATCTCTTTACTTTTATTATTTATTGATTGATTCATTCGTTCATTCATTTATTCATTTATTTTTGGCAGCTGGCCATAAATCTCTTTACTTTTAATGGCAATGTAATTATTTGCATAGATTCAATAGGATTATGTCCTTTTTTACCATGACATTGTTTGAAAACTCAATTGTGTGACAAAATCATTTGAATTTTCTGGAGTGTCATATTTGAGATACATTTTATTTAATCAGGCATTTCAAGTCCACCATTAAGGAACAGGTACTTACAAAGCCCTCATAGGAAGCTGATCCGGTACCTGTTCTAGGTAAGGAAGGTTATTTACTGAGGAACCGGGAACCTTAGCAGATTTGGGGACCTTGGGAAAGTAGAATTCACCCACATTTATAGGTACCACAGGTAAAAGATGGGAAAATAAATTTCTTTGGTTTGGTTTTCTAAACTCAGAACAGAAGAGCAACTAAAAGCAATAATTCTTTTTTTTAAAATCTCTGAAGTGATAGAGGCTACAGAAATACAATGTATGTAAATAGGGTGTAGGTTAATGAATCAGGCCAAAACACGAGACAAGGGTGACTTGATCAATTGGTTGGTCACTTGGTTGGCGGGTGGGTTGGTTTTGGTGATCAAAAACAATCTTTGTAAATTATTTATGCTCACAAAGAGGGGCTGACAAGAAAAAACTTGGAGAAGAGCAAAAGGACAGCTATGTATCATTTCCGTTGTGATGCTGGATTTTGTCCCACAGGCCCAGCTAAGGATTGCCTCATTCTATAGGGGCATGTACCTTCATTTCACTTAATTCTTGAATAAGATATTTTAAAATCCTAAAGAAAAATAGCCAAATAAATAATTCTTGTTTGATAGCAAATGCAAGTAAATTTTGTCCAACAGACATCAAACTAGTTCCGTGTAGCAGAAAAGGTAACCCCAAATGTTCAGTTTTATTTGACAGTCAGGAATTAACCAGTTTTGCCTCTAATTTAGCAATCTTATTCCCACATTCTTCATTTCAATAACTAAAAACACTTCTGTGTCTCCTATACTCCTTTGAACCAGCTCTACCATTTTAAGGGTCCCTCATTAATGAGTTACATAAATCTTAAACTCACTTTGAAAAATACAATGCGTAAGGCAGAAAATTAAAGCTGTGCAGAATGATACAAAATGAAAGTACACGGTAGGTAATATTTGGAGCACTAGGCTGAGGTGTTTTTACCCCAAACATTAAGCCTCTTGGTACCCACTACCCTCCCACCTCTCACGTACAGTGATGGTCTTTCCCTTTATCACGGTGGGCCCCGTGCTATCCTCACTAGCGACCACTGCCCTTTAAAGAACCAGTGACAGCACCTCATAACTTGCCTGTCCTGTCAGGGCACAGCCTGAGCAGGGCAGAGGCATCTGCTCCTGGAAGTTGGCTGTCCTTGATCACCTAATGGCATCAGGTCCCCAGGCTGACAAGGTTCCCTGATATTCTTCCTTTTCTTTACAAACCCTCAGCCCAACCCTGACCCCAGATTACTGATTAGATGCTATTGTGGAGCCTGTGATAGACCTGAGACCACCTGAGGACTCTTGCGCACGTGGCTGCACTGAGTGCCAGTATTTGCTGCCCACAGAACCAGCCGGGTGCCACTGCTCCTTTTGGGATCTCTTGCACACTGGGCAGTGCCCTCCAGACCCCATCAGTCCTGCATCCCTTCTGGCACTTCCTGCCGAAACTTCTCTCTGTTCCAGCCTGATGGTTCTCATGGGGTGCTGGTGGGCAGGGAGAGGTGAAATGTGCTACCTCCCAAGAGCTAAATCCTGTCTTTGCCATACTTTCCCTCTGACCTTGTCCTCTTTACTTCTAATGGACACTAATGGAGACCCTCCTATGTGCCAGGTGGTTTTCTGACACAGGTAACACAGCAATAAATGGGTCCTGCCTTCTCTTAATGAACTTAGTCATGAGCTAGTTCTTAATAGCTAAGATGCTTGCCCTGGTATGCTAGATTGATTGAAAAAATAGCAATCTTCACCCCTCCATACAGCCATTCTCTACACAATATGACTTTGTCATTCCTCCCACCACAAGGTGGGGTCTATTTCTCCCCTTGTTGAATCTGGGCTGCCTTGGGATCTTCTTTGGCCAGTGGGATGCAGCAGCAATGATGCTTCAGTTCCAAGCCTAAGACTCTGGAGTCCTCACATTCTTCCAATTACTCTCTTGGAACTACCCAGCCACTACAAGAACAAGCCCAGGCTAGCCTGATGTGGCATTCATCCTCACTGTCCCAGCCGAGAGCCAGTCAAATGTCAGACATGGGAGCAAGGCTACTCCAGACCAGCCAACCCACAGTGGACCACAGACACGTGAACAAGCCCAGCCAAGATTAGCCAAACCTGGTCAGACCAGAAAACAACCCAGCCAACCTGTAGACTCATGAGCTGCAATGAATGTTTACTGTATAATCACTGAGATTTGGGGTGGTGTAGTGGATTGAATTACATCCCCCCAAAACTTACTGAAGTTTGAATTGTGTCCCCCAAGTTTCATGTATTAGAAACTTAACCCCTACTGTGACTGTTAAGAGAGTGGGAAATCCTATTACGGTAATTGAAAGGTGGGGTCTTGAAGAGGTGATTAGATTGTAGGACTGTGCAGTAGTGAATGGATTAAAAATGGTGGCCAGGGGTGTGGTTCGAGGGATTTAAAAGAAGAGGAGAGTCTGTCTTTCTCTTTCTTTCTGCTCTCTCTGCTTCCACCATCTTGCAATGTGAGACCCCTGGGTCACTGTCACCACTACCAGATGGACTTTGGACTTCACAGCCTTAGAAACTGTAAGGAATAAATTTTATTTTCTTTATAAATTACCCAGCTCCAAGTATTTTGTTATAAGCAACAGAAACAGATTAATACAGGTGGTTTGTTACATAGCAATAGCTAACCAATACACTTGGGAATCTTACATACTTCTCCCAACAACTCTGGGATCTTCACAGAAATTAAACAATTGCTTTTCCTGATCACCCAAAGTTTACACAGCTCTTAAGTGACAGAAAAGTTCTGTACTCAGCTCTATATAAGAAGAAAATTCTTTTTTCACAATAACATAGGACTTTCCAAGACCTCATCTAGCTCCTCCACTCTGCCATTTTTAGGTTGCCAAAAATCAGGCAATGCAAATACATGAGGTCTCACAAAAGAGTATATACTGTATGATTTCATTTCTATGAAATTCTAGAATGGGAAAAACAAATCAAGAGTGAGGGAAAGCAGATCATTCATTGCCTGGGGATGGGAGAGGGTTAGATTGCACAGGGGCATGAGGGAACTTTGGGGGTGATGGAAATATTTTATATCTCGATTAGAGTAGTACTTACCTAGGGATTTATATTTGTCAAAAGCCACCTCTGCTCTTTAAATGGGTGCATTTTATTGTGTAAAAATTATACCTCAATAAAAAGTTAAGGAGAAAAAAAATTCAAAATGGTAGCAATGCTTCTAATCTCCTGGGATTTATTCCTCTCCCAGAGAGGTCTTGTTAGGAGGTCTCTGGGGAAGAATCCCCCTCCCCACTGCCATTTCTGTGACCCAGAAGTCTAACCAGAAGAAGCTCAGTGACTCTCCTAGGCGACCTTGCTCAGGCCAGCCTCACAGACCCAGTGGTAGGGCTGCTGGCAGACGTTGTCATTCCACATGCCATCGGAGAGGACGTGGGCACAGTCCTCACCTCCGCCCAGCCTGTGCCCATGCCAGTCATCTGGCTGGCCTGGCTTCCAGTTCCTGAGGGGAGAAGAGAGCAGCAAGCTAGGAGGGTGGATAAAGCAGGATTCCGGTCTGGGAAGGAGGAGTCAGATCCCTGAGTGGCAGGACCGAGGATGCGGGGTGCAGAAAGCCAGGGCCCACTCACTGGAAGCTGGTCTCATAGTTTGTTCCGTCCACCCATTTCCAGGTTCCTTCAGGGTCGCTGAGGCCTATCCAGGCATAGAAGGGGCCTGTTTGTTCCTGGACAAAATTCTGGGGTGACAGAAAGGTAAAGGTGACTTCTCCCTATCCCAGCCAACTCCTCGGACTAGTGATTCTAAACTTTAGCTGTTCATTAACTCAACTGAGGAGTTTGGGGACGTTCATCTTAACGCCCAGGCCAATTAAATATCTGAGGGTGAGGTTCCCATGGCAGTAGTTTCTAAAGCTCCCAGGTTAGTTCCAACATGCAGCCAAGATCGAGAACCATTTCCCCTCCTGGGAGCTGAATACCAAAGACCCTCACCTGCTCCTCTCTGGAGGTGATGACCACCAGGTGGGCATTCTCCAGCTGGCAGTACCTCTCAGCCTCGGGCCAGGGCTTCATGGAGCGAGAGAACCAGTAGCAGCTGCCCTCATGCTCCACCCAGTTAACCGGGCAGCAGGTCCTTTCAGAGCCTGAGGGGACAGAGGGAGGGTGAAAGGGCCGAGGCAATGCTGGGGTGATGTGGGCAGGAAAGCAGGGCTGGGTGCCCCCCACACCCTCCTCACCATTGCCCTGGAGAATGGCCATCTGGCAAGTCAGGGAGTTCAAGCCCTTCATCAGCTGCTGGACCCACAGGAGCATTTCTGAATGATCTGGACACACACAGATGGGTAGTGGGTACAATGGCCTGGGTAGGGCTTCTGCTCAGTGAGTCCTGGAGCTCAGATGCCCAACCATCCTGCCCTCCCGCGCCCCATCTGACCTGCCTTGACTTCCTGCTCCTGTTTCTCCAGCTTGCTTTGCAGAGAAAGCACCTTGTCGTTCAAGCTACGGGCTGCACAGGAAGGCGGCTCAGCACCAGCAGACTGCTCCAGCCCCACCCCCACCTTACATACACTCTTGTAGGGTCTCTCACCTGCTTGCAGTTCCTGCTTGTGATCCTCCACCTCGGCTTTCAGAGATGTTATTGTTTCTTGCAGGCTGCCTCCTGGAAGACATGGGGATTCCTGCTCAGAAATCAGCTGCCCCCCACATTTCCCCACCCCCAGCCCAGGCCATCCAAGCCAGGCTCACCCCGGGAAGTCAGTGCCTGGACCTCAGCCACAGTCTTTGAGGTGAAGTTGCTGAAATTTGTTCTCAGGGTCACCAGATCCCTCTGAAACTTGGAATCTGATCAGGTAGATGGGATGATCAGAATTAAGGTTTGTCAGATCCCCTCTGTGCCCAACCAACAGGGCACTTCACATGCATGTCCCATTCGGTCCTCACAGCCACCCAGTGGGGCAGGCACCAGCGTCATCCAATACTGCACATGAGGAAACTAAGAGAGGTGAGGTAATTTGACTACTTCACCCAACTAGTAAGTGACAGAGCCAGCTGCCATCCTGATCATGGGTGCATCACTGTCCCCCCACTGTTCCCACCAATCACCCCATTAATGTCACCATCAGTGCCTCAGCAATCCCATTGTGGCCCCTATGGCTATTGATAGCACTGCCATTGTCTTGACCCTCACTGTTGTCCCCGTAACTGCCCCCAACTCTGTGTCCATCAGTACTCTTGCTAGGCTCCTACCACAGCCTCCATCCCTGCCCACCCCTGCACCCCATTATGTCTCCTCCCTGCCCACCACAGGAGACCCACTTTGGGATCCGACCACACAGATAACAACCAGCAGCAGGAGGCTGAGGCCCATGGAGAGCAGGAGGAGGCGGGGCCCGGCACAGAGACTCCGCAGCAAGTTCTGGGGAGGAGGGGGTCCTGCAAGAGGAGAGGGCGTCAGGATGAGCAGGGCCCAAGACGTAACAGGCCCTGGAGACCTGTCTGGGGATGACGGTGGGTGCAGGTAATGCTGGGGGAGGACAAGACGAGGAGGATTGTGAGCAGGGGATGCCTGGGTCTGTGACCTCACGGACCAGCACAAGTCCTCAGCCACATGGGCCCCTCACACCCCTGGGACCCATGAACACAAATACACACAGACAGGATGATGGCGATAGGTGCAGTCCTCTCATCAGAGCAGGGGAGGTGGCAGAAGACATGGAGAGCTGGGAGCAGCCGGGCCTTAGCAGGCTTATCTCATGTGTGCTGTCAGGTTAGCAATGAGCGTCCCTTCCAAGCCCACCCTTCCCACCCCCCTGCCACACACCTCTCATCCCCTCCCTGCAGAGCATAGGAAGCCTCGTCCACTGTGGTCTTCCCTGTCCCTGTCTTTCTGAAGCCCCTGAATCCTCATCATACTGGGCCCCCACACTGACCCCCTCAGAGTGGGGGACCCGCCTGTGCACATGGCACAGGTACAGACAGATCCTTCTTAACATATGCAGAGGGCTTTGTACAAGAGATCATTTCTCCTTTCCTCTTACCATTTCTCAGCTCCTGGTTTTTCTCCTCGCTCTCTAAGTGCTGGAAGTTGCTATACGGCATTGCCATGCCTGGACCAACTCAGGCCCTGATGCTGCCAGAGCTGAAATGGAGCAGGGCCAGTGTCCAGGCTGGGCAGAGCTGGTAAGACAGGAGGCTGGGACTAGTCTGGAGCTGAGGTCAGGGCTGCAGCTGAGGTAAGAGGTAAGGGCCAGGGTGAGAACAAGTCTGGGGTTAGGGCTGGGATGGAAATGGGACTGGGTTTGCAGCTCAGGTTAGAAGTGGGCTCAGGATTGGGCTTTGGGCTGGGATTGAGTTGAGTTTGGGATTGAAACTGGAGGTAAAGTTGGAGTTAAATTTGTGGTGGGGATTGGGTCTAACATCGGGGCTGGACTTGAGGTTTGTGTCTCATGCTGAGACTGGGGTCAGCACTCATGTTGGGGCCGTGGATGGAATAGGGAATAGTCTCAAATCTCCCCTTGGTAATTAAATCTCAAACTTCCCCCTTATATTTCTTCCTATTTAGTCCCACCCAAGACCCTAGGTCCCCCTCTCCCTGCTTCCTGTAACAGTTCTCTGACCCCTCTGTCTCACCTGCATTCCCAGCCCAGTTACCTGTGGAAAGGCTGGAGGCTGTGATTCTTGGGTTTGTTGTGCAGCAATGACCAGAGGCGGAAAGTCAGTGTTGGAAGAACTAAATACTGGAGAGTTGGGGTGGAGTGACCAAAGGAGGAGCCACACACGTGACCGGAGCCCTGCTGATCTTCGTGTCTGACAGCCCAGGGTCCATAATCTGGGACATCCCATTTCCTCAACTTTGGATAGTAAATAATCAGAATGACTTGAAATTGGAACACACCCAGAGATTGCGCGCACGCATGCGTGCGTGCGTGTGTGTGTGTGTGTGTGTGTGTGTCTGAGAGAGAGAGAGAGAGAGTTAGGGACAGGGCCAGCTTTGCTCTCCTCCAGGGGGTGTCACCTCCCTTTCCCCTTTTTTGGGGCTCCCCTGACTTCCTCATTTTTACCACCTGGAAGAAGGAGCTGCCCCAGAAGGGACCAGGGGCGCTGTCTGCTGCTTCTCCTCTGCCCCACACTTCCTTTCACTTCCTGCCTCTGAATTTCCCAGAACTGCTGGTGTCTGCATCATGGCATCCCCAAACCCAGAGGAGCCTGTTCTCTGCTCTTGCTCAATCCTGGCCTGAGTTCCTGGCATCTGAGCATCTTCTGGGGCCTCAGCCGTCAAGGTCCCCAGTTCCAGCCTCACTCTCCTCTTTCCACTCAGAAAGAGGATGACAGAGAACAGGACTTCCTGGCTAGAATGGGAGGGGAAGAGCCGGGGAAAAGAGCAAACTTTTACCGAACATCTAGTCTGTGACAGGGACTGTGCCAGACACTTGCCTTATATAAACATTTGATTCCCACAAGCACTTTGGGAAGCATTTTGGATGATAGGCTAAGGCTCAGAGCCCAAGATCACTCAGCTTGTAAAGAAGACAGCCAGAGGTCAAGGCCAGTGCCACCAACACCCTGGCCTGGCTCTCTGCACACGCACTGTCTTCACAAACAGGATTCCAGTTCATCCCTGCCAATCCCGCTGGCAGGCCACCCTACGTCCATGCACACATCCTTTTCATGAGGAAGGAAACCAAGCATGTTAAAAAGTGGAGAAGGAGAGCAAATATATTTTAGGTTACACTCCCTGTGTAAATGGGATTGTGTTCTGCCGCTTGCTTTTTTTTTTTTTTTATTGAATTAGCAATGTATCGGGAAAATTTCTCCACACCAATTCATAAAATGTACTTTATTCACCTGCGTCTCATTTCATCAAATGTACCATAATTTATTAATTAAGCATTTTGCTATTGACAGACATTTATATTGTTTCCAGTGTTCTTCTTTTGCTTTTATTTGTTATTTGGTATTTTGAATGTCACCAGTTGGGTTTTCGGAAGCCAACTCTGAGACTGAATTTGGGGTGCATGCTATTTATTAGGGATCAACCCCTGGGAAAGGAAGTGGGAAGAAGGGCGGGGCAGAGGGAGAAGCTGAACAGACATGGAGACCTGACAGAGCTTCAGCCAGCCGACATGGGGGGACTTTATAGCCTCAGCTCTGTCAGTCACCGGATGTGGGTGGCTCCAGCAGGGATGTGACCTCAGGGAAGTGGCTGTCTGAAGATCACATTCCCCACAGCTGGACACCAAGTCCTTCCTGGAAGGGGATCTGGGTAGCTGATCTCTGTGTCTACTATAGTGTTCCGTCGTGTTTGCATATTTGGGGATAATCAACATTTTTACATTGTTGAATCTTTCCTGCAAAGAACATGGTATGTTTCTCCATTCACTCCTACGTGCATTTATTCATGCATTCAACAACTACCTACAGAGCATCTACAGTATGCCAGGCACTCGCCTTTAGAGGAGGCACGCTGAGGTGGGAGAATGGGGGGGGTATGAAGATCATCTGTTTGCCAGAGATGCCAGACATTTTATAGAAAAGGGAGCTAGACAGGAGAGAGAAGTAGGTAAGTCACAGGGGGACAATGGATGCCAGTTCTTCAAGGCCTTGTAGGTTGTTGTTAAGGATTTGTTTTTACTGAGACTGAGGGGCAAACTTTGGAGGGCTTGAGGCCAAAAAATGACACAACCTGACTTAGATGTTAACTGTAACATGTGGCAGTTGTGCTGTGAATTTCATGAAAAAGAACAAGAGTGGAAACAGACAGCCCAGGTAAGGAGCTCCTGTAACATCCAGGTGAGAGACGATGGTGGTGTGTGCATGGAGGTGGTGAGACTGTTGTGATTCTGAATATATAGTGAAAGGAGAGCGGACAGGATTTAGCTGATAAATTGCATGTGGGTTTCACCAAAAAAAAAAAAAGTCCCCCAAGTCCAGAAAATGCAATTTGACCTTTGCCTTTTCAGATATATTTCTGTGCATATTTATATACCTGTAAGCACACACACACATACATGGTGGGTTGTGGGTTTTTTTACACACATTTTTCTCTGTCACATGCTTTTGCCTTGGGGTCTTGAGGATTTTCCCTGCCCACCTCCTTCTTTTTAAAGGCTCCAGGGTGTTTGTGATATGATGACATTTATATGTCATAGAATGTTTCACTTGCTCGATTTTTTTTAGCATTTGTCTAGAATACATTTCCCTTTTTTATTTAACATGCTTCTGTTGTTTTGTTTTCAGTATATGCACACAATGTAAAAACAGCATATAACTGCATTGTTTTTACCCAATCTAAGAGTTTTGATCATTTATTACTAAAATTAAACCTGCTCACATTTGTTATAATTATTGCTATGTTTGGATTTGTTCCTGTCATATAATTTTGTGTTTTCTATCTGCCACACTTTCTTGCCTTTTTTATTCCCTTGCTGACTTTTAAAGATTAATTATTATTTTCTTTCTTGCATTTTTTGTTCTCACGATTTAGAAATTATGCATCTGGTTCTTTCAGTGATTACCTTCAAAATTTTCTGTCTGCAAATCTTTATATGATACTCTGAAATTCTCAGTCATGGGACCAGCTATGAGCACTTTTTGATCCATTGTGCAGGGAATTTGCTGGGATCTCTGTCATTCAGCCGTGGGAATACTCTTCTGTTATTTCTATCTTAATTTTTTTTAAATTATCATAGTATATACACATAAATACATTAGGGGAGTGTAAAAAATATTATAACCATAATGAATGACTTAGTAGAAGAATTAGAAGGTAAAAGTTGAGGAAATTTCCCAGAAGTAGAACAAAATTAATCATTTCTTTAAAGCTAGGAACAAGATAAAGGATGCTCATGTCACCAATTCTTTGTGAGATTCTACAGCCGGTGCAGAAGGGCAAGACAAATGAGTGAAAGATTGAAAGAGAAAGAAAACTGTCATCGTTGGTTGATCATATGACTGTTTAAAAACCCCAGAAAGGGGCCGGCCTGTGGCTCACTCGGGAGAGTGCGGTGCTGAAAACACCAAGGCCACGGGTTCGGATCCCATATAGGGATGGCCGGTTCGCTCACTGGGTGAGCGTGGTGCTGACAACACCAAGCCGAGGGTTAAGATCCCCTTACGGTCATCTTTTTAAAAAAATAAATAAATAAAAAATAAAAATGAAAATCCCAGAAAATCAGCACACAAGTTATTAAGCTAAAAAGTGGAAGGGTTTACATATCTTTTATTTTCAAATCTCCACTTCCCTTGAAATTTATGTTGGGTGTTTGATCATCTTTCAAGTTTGACTGTTGCTAGAGTTGTACCAAGTAGTAACAAATAGTTGTAAAAATGTGCATCCCCCCTGTGGTGTTTGAGACTACCCGTGGTTCCTCATTCCAGCTAACCCTTGATTTTCTCCGTCTTTTTCGTTTTTGCTATTTTGGAGGATATGTAATGGTATCGCATTGCGTTTTTTTAATCAGCTTTATTGAGGCATAATTTATATGCAATAAAATGCACCCACTTTAAGTGTACAGTTCAATAAGTGTTTAAAAGTGTAAACACCCATGTAACTATCAGAATCAAGATAAGGAACATTTCCATCACCCTAAACCTCCCATTGTGCCACTTTTCAGTCAATCACCTTGATGCCTGACCCAAAGTAACCAATAGTCTGAATTTTCTCATTATACTTTAGGTTTCCCTTCGCTAGAGTTTCAAATAAATGCAATGATACAGTATGTACATCTTTGGGATCTGGCTTCTTTCACTCGCCATGGGTTTGAGATTCATCCATGTTGTTGCAAGTATCAGGAGTCCATTTCTTTTATTGCTCGGTAACACTCCATTGTATGAATATATTATAATTTATTTATCCCCTCACCTGTTGATAGACATTTATGTTCTTTCCAGATTTTAGCTATTGTGAAGAAAGCTACTATGAACACTTGGTACAAGTTTTTATATGGATATATATTTTCATTTTTCTTGACTAAATACCTTGTAAGGAACGTGAATGTTAAACTTTATAAGAAACTGCTAAACTATTTTCCAAAGTATTTCTACCATTATACCTTCCTAAAGCAATGTATGAGAGTTCCAATTATTATATATTCTCACCA